CCCCAAAACCCCAAAACCCCAAAACCCCTTTATGTTTCCTCCAAATTGAAAGAGTCAGAATAGGCGGTAACAGCTGGTGAGCAAACTCAACTTAGACAAACCTCTCTCTAGGAATTCCAAAACCTCCAAATCTCCTTCTTCTATTCTCCAGAGGCCTAACACAGACGTAGCACCTCATCAACATAAGATAATCTGAATTTTTGATATAAACCCAAGAATTTAAATTAATTATATAAATTAATATTAGTCAACAATGGATCCTAAAGAGAGTACATTCGAGCAAAAACAGGCCACAAGTAATGACGAAGAAGTCAAAGCAGGCGAGGAGAACCCCTTTGGACTTGACTCACAAGAGATGCAAGATCCTATAGCACATAAACAGTCAGTTTCAAAGTTCTTTGATGGTCAAGAAGAGAGAAATATGATCAAGATCAAACAGGACTTGATGAAAGGACTTAAAAAGACACAAGGAAGGAAGATCTCTAAATCCAAACTCCCTCTTAATAAGAGAAAAGTCAAAGGAATGAATCCAAATGATATTAAAGGCAAGATTTTGAACTTATTGTATAGTGAAGATCTTCCTACCAAATTTGTCTAAACTGCTGTCTAATGACACAAAAGAGAAGGTTCCTGTGAATAAAATCTAACATTTATAGGCCCTTCAAGAGATTTTGAAGGTATTCAATGATACCGGGACCAAGCCAGAGTGGCTGAAGATTTACTTACAGGAGCTACTAAAGAGGAGAATCAGCAAGAAAGGCCTCATCAATTTTGAAATGGAGATAATTGCATTAAACCACTTGATTAGACTTAATGGCCAAAATTTTATTGACCCAAGGAGTAAAGTAAACACCTTGGAATCTACCATAAAGAAGGTGACTGATCTATACAAGATTGCAATGAGCATTGAGTCTTCAGAAGTTCACAGAGCAGTAGCACAAGGATACATTCACATTCTTGAATCTTGAATCAAGCCTAAATATGGTCTTGATTTAGAGAAGATTAATGAAATGCTCATAATTCCTCTTCAAAGCTCTATTGAAAAGGGAGAAGATAAGGTAGCCCAGGTTGCAGCTGCCCATGTCTACTATTTCATGGTCAAGGCAGCTTATGAGAGTGAGTATAATGAAGTATTCAAATTCCTATATTCGAAATACCTAGACACTTTTAAAGTAAGCTCCTCCTTATAATTACAGGCCTTCAATATCGAGAATGAAGACTATATTGACTGTATGTCCTACCTAATCCAAAACGGAGGAATCAAGCCTGCTGCTGAGTTCATAGGAAGTTTGATCAGAAAGTGCCTGAAGGTCTTGAACTCAAAAGATGTGCATAACCCAAAGGTAAGACTACATTACATCACTTTTAGGCTAAAACTTCTGCTTGATACTTGCTATTTCTGCTAGCAAGGAAGCTACATGAGGTTGGAGATATCATTTTTGAACCATTTGGATACACTGTTCTCTCAAAGCTAGACTCTCTTAGATTTGGAAAGAATCTGAAGCTTAAGAACGAAGCAATTAAAGCTTATGATGAATGGAAGAGTCTTGAGAATTGATCAAGATCTAATTCGATAGATCTGAAACATTTTGATTATGACGACTTGCAATAAAAATCAAAGAAAGCTTATCATTCATTGAAGTTGAGAAGCAACAAGAGGTAGAAGATAAAGGTAGCTTTGCCAAAATAGTTGAAGAAGGGATTAAGAATAGAAAGTTGAACCTTGACCTTGATATTCCATCTACGAGGATTGGAATTAGTGCTTTAAAGACCTCAAGACTTCCTATTAGGGATAAATACTCTTCAAAGCCAAGTTTACAGAAGATGTCAATCCATCCAGTGCATAAGAACAGGAATCGGCCAAATAAATCTCAGTCGAGGAAGATCATGACTGTTAGAGGTAAGCTTATAGTCTAACAAATTAATGATACTTTCATTTCACAGTTCAAAATTTTGTTTAAATAGATTCGATGCCTAGCCTTCCTCACAGAAGGAAGCATCATAAGATTTTCAGTAAAAGTCGTGAGAAGCATAAACCAAAGAAGATTCCAAAGCATTTAGTGGATAAGATGGACAAGATGTCTAAGAAGATGAAGAATATTGGATACCGTCCTCCTCAAAAAGGCAAGTTTAAAGACTATCCAATCTCTCTAAGTCGGAAGATCAAGCCTTTAAGACCTGGAGCCAGCCCATCACTCAGTAAGGAAATGTTTATAGGAACCTTTGTACGATAAATGACTCTATTTCTGAGCCTCTTTCTGCTAACCTTCCTGTAGGAGTAAATTACCTTGACAGCATGAAAGCAATATTTGCCAGAAAAAGAGACAATGAACATTACCGAGTTGAAAGATCATGTTAAGAAGCATGTTGGCAAAATAGACACAGAAATATTGAAGGGGAAAGATCCTGAATTGTATAACTCAATCAAGGGTTCTATTTCATCAAATGGTCTAATTTTCCCTCATAAAACCCTAGAGCTACCAGTAAAAATCCTAAAGAAGCTACATGATAGAGGTTATATCAATCATTCTTCCTGCTTTCCTAAAGAGTTAGAGCTAGCTAAGAATACTCTTGAAGGGCTTGAGTTGCTATCAAAGAATCAGCTATCAGCTAAAACACTTCCATCATCTTCATTTATCCCTTCATTAAGCGTTGAGGTACCAGTAGAAGTATTGAAGGACGGTTCTTTAATCAGTCAAGTTCCTTTTTCTAAGGTCTCTCCAGATGGATTGGTCAAGCTAGGAGACCTACCGCCAAAAGCAGTCCTTGAATTGGCAAAGAACCAAAATATAGATTTATCCGGGAAGTACCAAAAGCTGCTCAAAGGTGTCATTAAAGCAGGGAAAGATCTGATTGACTCAAATAAAGATCAAAGAGGTCGAAGCATCAAGGATATGATAAGTACGCCTTCAGAAGGTGTTCTTAAAGCGGGATTACAAAAGCACATATCGAATAAGCTATCTAAGATTCAAAAGATTCCATTTAGAGGTAAGAAATATCTATTTTCATATTTAACTGATTTCCTAACGGTCAATAGATTTCCAACTTCCTGAAGGCAATAATGAAACTCTTCAAAAAGAGGCTAACAACTATGAAGTCAAGAGTAGTGCTATCATCGATGCTCTAAAGAGCCTAAACCAGAAGGTATGTCCCCTTACATCTAATCCACAGAGCTCTGTTTCTAAAGAAGACTTGGAGAACCTCTCTGTGATCCAAGAGCAATTGAAATCTCTTGAGGACAAAAATGGTAAGACAGCTCTATAAACTTTAGGCAATGTTAAAGTTAGCAGACTTCCTTACTTCCTCCAGAAGAGAATCGGGATCCCTATTAAGAGTAATCAACTAGGAGAAGATGACAAAGGACTCATTTTCAGTAAACAAGATGTGCTTGATAATACTGATAAGATAGCAAGACAACAACTTGATCAGATCAACCCATACTCAGATGAAATCGAAGTTGATGACCTTAATCCTGAGATTCTTAATGACTTTGCGAAAACAGGCTTATTAGAATACCAAAGAGCACAAAAAGGATATCAATCATGAGAAAAGACAATGCAGCAGTTCCCAGACCATCTAGGTAAGTCATTTTAGTTTGTAATTGAAGTTTTGAGCTTAATAACCCTTCCCTTCAGACACTATTGACAAGGTCATCGAGGCTTGAAGAGATAAAGTAGACTCTAAGATAATCAAGCCAGTGCTTAATAATAAAGACCAGTATACGAACTTGGGAGAACTCCCTTTTGAAATGGTAGAGTCCCTTGAAAAGGAAGGCCAATTGAGCATTCCCCAGAACTTTGATGACAATGTCCTGCTCTTGAATGAATCTTCTCCTAAAAATAAGAAACGACAGGATGTGAGAGTGAGAAGCAACAGAAATCGTTCGAAGAACTTACTCTCACCTCCGAAGCATTCAAGTAATTATATTCCTTTACAAAACTTGATGAAATCAAGTCCATTCATGACAGAGAAACTGAAATCTGAAGCTTTATCCAAGAGAGCTGATCCTTCAAAGGTTCAGTTATCTGATCTTCCATCTGAAATCCTATCTGATCTTGGAAAGAGAGGAGTCATCCCCTCTTCTGTCATTCCTACTGACTCCAAAGTTGACGAGAAACTTCGAGAGAGTATCAAGAAGACTTGTCTTTACAAGCCAATCCAGGATCTTAATAAGAGTTTTGAAATTATTGATACTAAAAACCAGCCAATTGCTACAATCAAAGATCTGAATAAATATCTGAGTACTAAAAATGTGCCTAAGCATGCTTTGCCTGTGCTCCCTGAGAGATTGCAGAAGGAATGTGATAAACTAAAATCTGATGAAGTTCCACTAAATATGCTCCCTCTTTCAGTAGTCTATGACATGTGCAAGCATAATGATGTCAATATCGACAAAGAAGCTATTGAAACTATGAACAATCTCACTTCTGATATTGTGAAGCCAAGAAGGAGAGCAGCTCCTGATTACAAATCTCTCATGAAAACAATCAAACAGCAACAGAAATCCAGAAGCAAGCAGATTGCACTCAGCCCTAATTCTCGAAGAAGGATGGTTACTGATAGAAGTTTGCTGCATGCTCCGCAGAATTTCAAGAATAGCCTTGGCAATTCGAGATTCTTGTTGCCTTCTGATACTGCAAGTCTGAACCTTTCAAAAAGGTTTGCAAAGCCAAGCCAAATGATGCATAGTTCGAGCCAAGGAGTTTTAAACAGAAGATCGGGGATTAATTCTCCATCTAGAATCCTTCAGAGTCCTCAGGACGATCACTTCTCTTCGACTAATGCCGAATCGAAGTATAGATTCTACCCAGCTAGAATTGATGTATCAAGCATCCTCTATGCTGATAATGCAAATATTGAGGCTCGAATTGAAAAGACTGGCAACCCAGAGGCAACAAGGATCTCTGCCATGAATCCTAATTCCTTCTTCCGTGATCAAAGTTCTATAGGTGGGCACCAATTCTTGAGTCGGTATCAATCTTCAAGGAGCAAGCTGTTCTCTCCAGATAGGCCAAGTACGCACAGATAATTTTCTCTTTTAAAATATTTTCTATTTTATAATTAAATCAATTATTTAATATTCATTCGGGGTTTTGGGGTTTTGGGGTTTTGGGGTTTTGGGG